AAAGTGTTAATGGATTATAAAAGTCCATGATAATTTGTATACGTTCTAATACAAATGGCGTTTGATAAACAAAGGTTTTTTTCAAGAACACATCTTAACAAGACACGTCTTGTTAATTACAGGTTAACTTTTTATGCAAGTCCATCCTAACCTTTATTTAATTGGACCAAAATCTCATCTAAAAGAACCTAAGGCATATATATACGTAGAAGATATAGAAATCAGATAATGATTAATTCATTAATTAGATAACAAACTCACTATTCATAGTTTCATAAGAGTCGAATTTTAGATATTTCACTACTGCTTATAAGTAGTTAGAAATACCACTAAATTGTAGTATTAGTAATAGACTATATGTACAACATCCCAGAGAGCAATGCAAGTGTCGTGCTGCTAGCTAGAAGCGAAGCGGTGGAGTGCCACACCCCAGATGGGCGGACTTTGTTTCGTAATTACTAATTAGGCCAAAGTTTAATTAATTTGACCTAGATTTCCTACACCTAGACGGGGCCAACATACTCCACCAGAACAGGGGACCAAAAATTATGGATTTGAAGACCTAGATATTCAAATATTCACGAACCTTAGCTTACCCCGAAGAAGCCAAACGTGCTTTAGTATGCTAAACGTGAGTTTAGGGTTGCTTAATCAAACAACCAGAAAGCAGTCACTTACCTCGATCGCATGTTATTTGCAAAGTCTGTCTGGTTCAACCCTTACAAAAATAATGTTAAGAACCCACATGCACATCACATTCATATATGCCTTTGAAGTTTGAACTTTGAAGGCAAGTAAAAGTGGGAGCAGTTTTCACTATTATTCATGTTCTTATCTTTTTTGGAGGTCCCCTCATATATAGGCACCAAAAACTATCGCACACAACAATATCACCTAATTAAGGGACATCCAAGGTGCTTCCATTGTGGACAAAAATGTCCTTGAAGTAGCAGAAGATTCAAAAAATTTAGGGACAGAGACTACTATTGAGTAAGAACGTGAAAGTTACTAAGTATGAAAGAATGAGAATGTGAAAGTCATCATCGAGTTTTCTGATAGATTTATACGTAAAATAAATTTAGCCTAACGCAGTTTGATATCCTAAATATGTCCCCATAATTTGTTTTTCTTGCTAAGACAAGATGCAAACACACATTACTCAACTAACAATTGCTTGTTTTGTGGAGAAAATTTAACGAACATTTTGCCCCCACCTTAGCATTTGGGAAGAACAATGGAACCACAATTTGTTGAGTGGGGGCAGCCGCCCCCATATATTTCCTCTCTAAATCTGCCACTCTTCTCAATTATAGAGACCCATAACTCTCTGTTCAAAGTACTTATATTTTGATCATGTCCTTTTCATGACGTTCAATCTAACTAATCAAAGATCTATGTAGGATGAGGACATAAGGATCGCTACCACCAACTTGGTTTCCTCGAAGATTCGTGTAGTAGCAAACAAGCCAACCAACTCTGTTCATTTCAATCAAACTGTCAAGAGTCCAAGGTTCCTACTCCTATGATTCCTCAATGAATTATGTGTCAGATTGTATTGCCAGTGAATTTGGTCGCACATTTATATACAAAATTAATGTAATTAATGTTTACTATTGATAGTTGGATAAATAAACATTTCTCTTTTACTAGAACATAAAACCATGATAGCTGAACTCAAAATATGAAAATATCAACAAATTTTTTGTTACAGTTGCATAAAATTAATTTTCAAATAACGACATTATCTGTTTATTAGAACTCAACACATAGAATCTATGAGATAATTGCTTGGAATTTTGTTTGATTTTTCTCTTTAACTTTAAGTTGAAGCCCATCGATTAATAATTAGTTTTGTCGTTTGAACTTGTACTTTGTAATTAGATTCGTTTGCTAATGATCAAGTTTAATTATATCTTGCAAAGAGTCAAAAAAATGTCATTTCAATGAGGGGAAGTTGGGGCACTAAGAAAAAAACCTTGTTTTTCTTTTAGACATCATTTGGGGTTAAGTAACTTACGCATAATCTTAGTTATCCTTACACTTAAAACTTTTCAAGACTTGTGAAAAGGGTTTAAACCTTATCTTTCTTTGAAGTATTGTGTTCAACAATACTATTAGGGTGCGTTTGTTGTACCGGACTATCTCGGACTGGACTAGCTTTAGGGACGAAGCTGGATTGGCTTAGACTAGACTAAGTTGGACTAAATTAGTGAAGCGTTTGGTGCAGTATCGAACTAAAAGTAGGATAATGAAAAAAAATATTATTCTCAATTTGGTGTTTGCTCTGAGAATGACTAAATTAATGTTTATTTTAATTTCTTTCTAATTAAAACTGTTATGAAGATTAATATTATTGATTCCATATTTTTATGAAAATTAATCTTGTTGATTCCAAGTCTTTTAATATCAAACTAAAAAAATAAAAATAAAGAGTCTTTAATATCCATCTTGAAAATATCCAGATCCTTCTCCATCTTGGAAATATCGAAAACAAAAATAAAAGGGCATAGCCCTTTTCTATACGAAATAGTGCTCTGCAATTAAATCGTTTGCGGCAGGGCAAAATCGACGACGGCTTCCAGAGGGGCTGCGGTGCCATTTTTGTGTTGCTCAACCACACCGTGCTATTGTATGACTTCTATTTCTTCGTCGAAGAGGGCAGAGTAAGGTCTCCGTACAACCCACCTAGCATTTTGACGACTACCCACTTTCTATCTCTGCAATTACAGAGCTCTGAAAACCCTAGAGGGAAACTGAAGCTTATGGATTGATGTGAATTTGGGCGGGTTTGATGGGGATTCGGTGGAAAATAAGAAGATGATTTTTTGGGGGAAATCGGTGAAATCAAGGTTTTGGGGTTTGAATTTGTGGCGAGATTTACATACTGACTGGGATTATGAAGAGAATGAAGGAAACAAAGCTCAGTCAAGGAAGCGAAGAAGGAGGCGCTTAGTGAGGTCCTTAGAAATCCCATGGTTCAGCAGGGGACTAATTTGACAACCTAACGAAGCCCCGAGTCCAAGCGAGTGAAGGCTAGTCTCATTTAACTTAGTCCCCAAACATAACAAACATGAGATAATAGTCCTAGCTAGTCCACTCTCAAGGTGAAACAAACACACCCTTAAAGGTTTGAAGTTGCCCCTAAAGATGCTTAAACTTCATTGTTGTTTATATTGCAATTAGAGTTGCGTGACAGAGAATATGTCTAGCATGTAAGCCAATATCACAGTCAAGGTCTAAAATATCGATGATATCGGAAATATCGGTAATCCAAAAACACGGAAATTTCGATGGAAATATCGGGATATTATCGATATCGATAAAAATTGAATAAAAACCATGGAAATTGTAAGAAAAACTTGGAAATTTTTATTGAAACTTTGCATGATGTTTATTTAGTCAATTATCTATTAGTTTATCACAAAAAATTGGAAGGAAATGCATTGCATGATGGATTTAACTAATTTAAGTTGATTATATAGCGAGCTGGCAAACATTATGAGTGTAGAAAATATGTAATAATTAATGAAAGAAGTTTAAACACACCATAATCATTTATATATAATGAATTAGTACAATATTTTATAGTTTATACATTGCATGGTAAGATACATGAGTGACTTAGTACCACATAGAGTTCCTATCAAAGTTTAAAATATCGATGATATCGGAAATATCGGTAGTCCAAAAACACGGAAATTTTGATGGAAATATCAGGATAATATCGATATTTTAGATCATAGTAAATAGAATGTTTGGTTCACCCATACGTCTCGGGTTCATAATTCCTTTTCCTAGATTATTGTCATATTTTCGAACTCTCCCTCTCCTTAATAATAAAAAAAATTTGAAAAAAAAGTTATATACTAATTGTATTGCACAGCGAAAAAAATAAACACAAGTGAGTCACAATTGTGTATAGCTAAAAATTATTCATCACAAGAAAATTAAAATTTCAAAATCAACAATAATATAGATATGAGCTAAGTCACACAATGAACCAGCATCATGAATTAATACTGTATTTACTCTCTGTGAAGTCGACTTTAAAAAATTCAACTTATAAATTAAAGAAAAAATTCACTAAATTATAGGTGCTCCTTTTTTTTGTCGAAAAAATTATAGGTACTATGCCCATCCAAATTACTGAATATTGATTTTCCCAATGATATGAACATTTCACTAGGACGGCACCGTCGTGAGTCAGGTGACGACTTCAAGAAACTTCCCATGAAAATTGAATAGTAGCTGTTGTAGAAAGCAGCATTTGCCAGGTCAACCTTGTTGTTAGAAATTTTAATTAGGAATTTCATTATTTAACGTTAGTTATTACAAAAGGGTTCTTCACTTTATAAGATGGGGTTGAGCTCTAATAATTAAATTATTTAATTAGTTATTTTCGGATTTAATTAATTATTTTTAATTAATTTTGAATTTAATTAAGTAATTAATTTTTTTATCAACAGACTCATATTTTCATATGAAATTTGTTGAGATGAAAGAACACAAAGCAAAGCACCCCACTGTGAAAGATGACTTCCAACAGACGCACCCCATTTTTATACTTGTTGCGAACAGGTATAAACCAATTATATATACATTCATCTGCATGACATTTAGAATACAGAAACATCAAATTCTTCTTCTACAATCCTAAACCTTGTTACTTAGAGAACCACATAGAAATTCGCCAGAAGTCAATTTTCAGGTGCTGGAATTCTAACTTAGATCGTTGAATCCTGGTGAGGCAGACGTATGTAGAACTACAAGTACTGAGTAGAGACAAAATATATGTTTTAAGGATATTGTGGTACACAAACATCGATCTTTAATTTTTCTGTTCAATATTATTTCACATTGTTAATACTCTGTTATTTATTTATTAGCATTTATTATTTATTAATATATATAAAATTATCATTGATCGTTGATATTTATCCGTTAGCAAAACTCCCTTGACCAAATAAATTAAAAAACGCTAAGCCCAATTGACCCGCTGTGTAGGGACCAATTGACCTGCCCAATTCGAACCCGCCCCAGACGAGGCTCAACTCTCCCATTTGAATTGAATTCTTGTCCCATTCCTTTCCCTAACGTTGAACTCTATCTTATCACAGACACAGACTCCGACAGAGAGATTAGAGATGTCGGGTTCGGTCAAGAATTCGATATTGCCGGTGTCGGATCCTCCGAGGGACCAGGAGAGAGAGAGACTCATCGGAGCTGGCGACGATGAGAAACTCTTCAGAGGATCCGCCATGACCAGACGTGGAGCCTACGCTGCAATCTCGTACATGGCTTGTGCAGGTAAATTATACGCCCCTTTAATCCTGTTATGCTGCAATTTTCAAAGCTTTTGATTCCCAGAAATTAAAGTTTCAAACTTTCAAAGAAATTGAAATTGGATATCAAAATATTTGAAGGAGATTGGAAGCTTTAATGGGCGAGAATGTTTTGATATGAATTTGGGTTTTTTGCATTCCTAGTTGGGATTGGCTAAAAGCGTTCGGTAGAAAAACTTAAATAAATTTTTTTAAAGTGTTTATAATAAAAGCACTTCTAGCAGAAGCACTTATGGTTAGAAGTTATTTGCAATCCCAAACGGTGTGAAATTTTTAAAGAATGTGAACTTAGTTAATTGTTCCCATTTTGTTTGTAGTGATGTTGGTGATGTTCAACAAGGCAGCTCTCTCGTCTTATAAATTTCCAAGTGCAAACGTTATCACACTTTTTCAGGTATTTTCCCAAACGTATCCTACATTAATCTTTCGTCTTTTGGTCGGAATTTAAGTCTGCTGCCTGCTTTCTTGTGCTGTTCTTGTGTAAAGTTCATTTCTTTAATCAAAATTAAGACACAGTCTAACCTCATGGTGTTGTTGGCTTTGTTTTGAATGCTTTTCGTGCATAACTTCATGGTTTGCCCTGCATATTGAATATCTAATGATAAAAAATAAGACATTTTCCTTTTTTATGGTTTCTACTGCAGATGATATGTTCATGTGGTTTTCTCTACACCTTGAGACGCTGGAAGATGATTTCTTTCACAGTAGGTGAATCTTTGATTATTTCTGACGACAGCACCACAACACTTGTACCATTAAAAACATTGAAGAAAACCCTTCCTCTTGCAGGAGCTTATTTGCTGTACATGGTACGCATTTTGTAATCTAGTGTTGATCGGTAACTATTGATCAGTAGCTTTCTTGTATTTGTGATTAATGTTTGCGCATTCATTTATTTCTCCTTGAAAGCTAGCCACCATGGAGTCTGTCCGTGGAGTAAATGTTCCCATGTACACCACCCTCAGAAGAACTACCGTGGTATTTACAATGGTTATGGAGTATGTTTTGGCTGGGCAGAGATATACAGCTCCCATTGTTCGAAGGTAAGTGACCCCTTGTATGTAACTTATTCTGTATATGCTGATGATAATATGTATAGAATCTGCTCTTCTAAATATACGTAAAGAATTATATACATTTTGATTGGATGAAAGTTCTGAATGCTAACCTGTTGGCACTTTTGTTTGTGTTCATGAATTGGTCGAGTGAGAGAGTTTTGTATTATCCCATGAGCGAATGTGATGAAGAATGGTTCTACATTATGTGTTTACTTTATTGGCCATCTACCTGATTTTCTCATTTAACTGAATATTTTAAGGTTGTTATCAGTGTCGGCCTGATTGTTCTTGGTGCATTTGTTGCCGGATCTCGGGATTTGTCATTTGATGCCTATGGCTATGGTGTTGTTTTCTTATCCAACATCACGACAGCAGTATATCTTGCAACCATAGCCCGTATTGGTAATACTTTAACATTTTATCTTTGGAGAAATCCAGTGGATTCCACTTTGCTGGTTGACAGGTTTCTAAGATATTGACTGTTAGTTTCTTTTTGTCAGGGAAATCCAGTGGCCTTAATAGTTTTGGCCTCATGTGGTGTAACGGTAAGCTAAAACATCCCGACTCAACTTGTGCTCTTTCGAGATTTTTTAACTTGTGGAAAAATATATATTTTTATTTAATTGAATCAAGTTGTGACACATATGGTATTGTTTCTCTATGATAGGATTCACATGCGGACCGATTTTGCTGTTTTTGACTTTTATTAGTGGTGACTTGAAGGCAACAATCGAGTTTCCTTATCTTCTTTCACCTGGTTTTATGGTACATTCTTTACCAATGCCACTCTTCTCTGCTAATGCACATACACACTTAATAGTCCAAAATATTTTTTTGCATGGCTTTGTGTCTTGGTAGCTTATAAGCTATAAGTTATACTTATTTAATTATGTTATTGATTGGTACAGTTATTCCCTTTTATTGCATCGTTGTCAAAAGGTGGTTTAGTTTATAGATATTTTCCAGTTTTCTTTAAAGTAATTTTACCTGCAGTTTGGTTCGTGGGTTTCATGATTATGATATTGTTCTAATGCGATATTTGATTTCATGTTGTTATTTGATAACTCAAGACAAATCTTCCATGTTTCATGTAGAACTTCATTGATTTTTTTTCGCCCCCAGCTGTCTATGTGGCCTACATGAATTACTGTTATATAGTTGATATACGGTGAAAGTGATGTGTTTGGACTTGCAATTGTTGCGTCATGTTAGTTTAAGTTTTGAGAACATCCGGAATGAGTTTCAAAGTTTTCTCCATGTAGCATTTTACATCTTCCCTACGGGTTTTTTGGCATTTCATAGAATTCAATTGACATCAATTACTCAAGTATAATAAGCTTATTCTTCTTGCATTACTTAAATATAACTTCCAAGTAACTAGATCCACTGTTGTTTCCTATTTTTCTTCCTCCTTTTGGCAGGCGGTCTTGCTTTGTTCCTGTATATTAGCCTTCTTCTTGAATTACAGCATATTCCTTAACACAACTCTGAATTCAGCTCTTACGCAGACAATTTGTGGTAACTTGAAGGTTTGTGTAGCCTATAGTTCTGTCTCTTAGATGTATTGACAACATAAGTTAGCAGCCTCTATGAATTTCTCCAGGTGGTGTGGCCATACTTTTATGCGTGTGAATAATTTGAAATTTGAAAACGTAAAGCGATTGAGGTAGCTATGTTATGGCTCATTTGATTGAGCTTTCTTAATGTCGTAAATGGATCAAATGGATATGAAAGTTACTTTAATTCAGAAAATAAATGAATAAAGGTACATTGTTTATATATGCGACTCTGATATTGAACAGATATCTTCATTAACATAACATTTCACATCTCTTACATTTTCTGGTCACTAAACTGCTATAGGATTTTTTTACTGTTGGACTTGGCTGGATGCTATTCGGCGGCCTTCCATTTGATATTGTAAGTGCAAACTATTCTCTGCTCTAATAAAATCACTCTTTCACTATTTGATTTAGAAATTGACGCGTTTTAACTTTTTTATTTGGCAGTTGAATGTTATCGGTCAATCTCTCGGTTTCCTTGGCTCTGGGTTGTATGCCTACTATAAGCTCATAGGGAAGTAACATATTCAACAAATGTCTAGTTCTCTCACCTGAAGACGATTAGTTGCTGCCCTTGTTTACACCACCACCAAATTTGAATTTGCGATTACGAGGCTCTTGGAGTGAGATGTGCAGTATTAAGACCGGAGACATCCGCTCAGTGGTGGATTTAACTGTTAACTGGAAACGGAGTGTACGTATTCTTCCATACCAACCAGCAGGTGTTGGAAACAACGGCTGCACAATTTGGCATTGGCAGCTGCTTGCTGATTTAGTTTGTTTGGGCTTTGTCATTGTATACCATGAATATTTTCCCTTCTTCCAATATTTCGGTCACATATGCTCAATTTTTGAAGCGACGGTAAACGCAAAATGTAGTTTCATATATACTGTTGATCGTACGTTTTTTGTTGGAACTATATTAGTTGTGCGTGTATGCAAGCTCGTGTTTTTTTTTTTAGTTGTTGATGCGCAAAACTTGAGGTTTTGGACAACGTAAATCCAACCGTGAATCTGCAAGAAATGTAAATAACACAAGATGTATCGTGGTTCACCCCAATGTTTGGGCTACGTTTACACTGATATTGTATTTCTCTATTTGTGAGATGATTGAGAGGGTGAGAGCTTTGCTCTGAATATGAGAGGGGATGTGTGGCTTATGGCCTAGCAATTGGCCTAAGAATTGGCATCTCCTAATGAGGAGAGTGAGGGGTCTTTTTATAGAACAAGAGCTCCTCACTTATTACATATTTGCCCATTCATTTATTGCATAATTACATTTGAGTCATCCGAGTATTTATACGAGATCTAAATACGAAAGTCTTAAGTATGGTACAAACAGTGGTCCCTCAAGTCTTCAGTCAAGAGTTTTTTGGCTGGAGACTTGAAATTCAGTCCATGTGTGGGCCGAAGTAATTAGATGTCGTCTTGAACTGATGCTCGATATGAGGCAGTGCCCAATCTGAAATGATGCTCAACTAGAAGTAGCACATGTTGCAAGGTTGCTCGGCTTGTGGCTTATGTTGCCTTGGTTGGCTCGGCTTGTGGCATTGAAGGTGAGGAAGTCCCTTTTATAGAACAAGGGCTCGCTTTTCAATACATAAGTGATGGGGTAAGAGTTGATGCTCGCGGCAAGGCGGTTGCTCAATAGGCGGCGATGCTCTCTAATGATTGTGAGGGAGTTCATTTTATAGAATAAGGGCTTGCTCCTCAATACATAAGTGATGGGCTAAGAGTTGATACTCGCGGCGAGGCGGTTGCTCAGCATGCGGTGATGCTCTCTAATGATGGTCAGGGAGTCCCTTTTATAGAATAAGGGCTTGCTCCTCAATACAAAAGTGTTGGGCTAAAAGTTGATGCTCACGGCGAGGCGGTTGCTCAACAGGCGGCGATGCTCTCTAATGATGGTGAGGGAGTCCCTTTTATAAAATAAATGCTCGCTCCTCAATACATAAGTGATAGGCTAAGAATTGATGCTCGCGGCGAGGCAATTGCTCAGCAGGCGGCGATGCTCTATAATAATGGTGAGGGAGTCCATTTTATAAAATAAGTGCTCGCTTCTCAATACAAAAAATAATGGGCTAAGTCCCTCAAGTATTTTTTATGAGGCCCAATATATGGTACATAGTGTAGTCCCCCAAGTCTTCAGTCAATAGAGTCTATTGGCTGGAGACTTCAAATTGAATCCATGTATGGGCCGAAGTGGCGGTTGTTCGGAGGCGGTATTTGTATACTCTGCACTGAAGCTTTGTAGGTGAAGCTTTGCAAGTGAAACTTTGAAGCTAGAGCTCTGTAAATAAAGCTTTCGAAGCTGGAGTTTTTATAAATGAAGCTTTTGAAGCTAGAGTTCTGTAAATGAAACTTTTGAAGCTAGAGTTCTGTAAATGAAGCTTTTGAAGCTAGAGCTTTTGTAAATGAAGCTTTTGAAGTTAAAGCTCTGTAAATGAAGTTTTTGACGCTAGAGCTCTGTAAATGAAGCTTTTGAAGCTGATTGACAAGAGGGATGCTCATGGATGTTGACATGAGTGATGCTCATGAATGTTGACATGAATGATGCTCATGAATGTTTATGTATGATTTGAAAATAGTGATGCTCATGAATGTTTATGTACGATTGATATGAGTAATGCTCATGTATAATTTTGAAGTACTGGACGTACTTTTGATCACCTGGTTGGTGATAATAACGGCAGGCTGCCGAATAATTTTGGAGTACTGGGCGTACTTTTGATCACCTGGTTGGTGATAATAAAGGCAGGCTGCCGAATAATTTTTGAGTACTGGGCGTACTTTTGATCACCTAGTTGGTGATAATAAAGGCAGGCTGCCGAATAATTTTTTGTAGTACTGGACGTACTTTTGATCACTTGATTAGTGATAATAGAGGGTCTGACTCTTTTGGGCATATGGGCCTTCGCCTTCCACATAACATTCCAGCCCATTATTTTGGGCTTGCCTTTTTTTAATTTTTTTTATTACCCTCTGATGGGGTTATACAGATATCTCTGAAAGATACAAAAAATAAATTACAAATCCGATCCTCTGCTCAATGGGTCACGTCCATAATTCCCTTTTCTGCATGTCATCACCACTGCAATTATGTCTGCTTCATTTTATCTTCTTTTGCTTTCTGCTTTTACTTTCTGCTTTTCTTTCTGTCTCTCCACCTGGCAGACAAAAGGAATCGTGATAGAATTAATAGGAAGCTTATCTTTTGCTTTTCTTAATCTCCCCGCTCCTTGCTTTTGCTTTTTGTATTCCTTTTCTCTAAAGTGACAGCACTTGCTTTTCTTGATCTCCCCGCTTCAATAAAATTCACCCCTCTCTGACTCATCCCTCCTCCCTGGCCCTGCTCCATTTTTTGAGCATATATAATAAGCTATGACTCTTCCTCATTTTTCTTTTTTTTTAGCAGGTGGCAGACATCTTTTTTTCTCTTTTCTCTTTTCTCTTTTCGTCTGGATAACTGTTTTTGAGCCCATACATGCTTCAGCAGGAAGTCCTTGCAGGCCACGCCCTACAACTTTGAAGTAAGAGCACTGTTCATGGTCCTTCCTATACTTGCTGTAAAGAAGAATCACAGCAAGGCATTCGAAAACCCAAATATGGCTTGACCCGAAGATGGAGACAACATCTCCATCAGCCATTGTCCGCCACCCAAAGTGAATAAGCGAGCTCTTCACCAAAGCATTGCCAGTGGGCTTGCAATCATAGATGTGCAAGCCATGGATGATAATATTTATAACAAATTGGATTGTGATGCATCCTCCATTAGCAATGTGAACATTGACTCCGCGACCATCAATGGTTTTAAAGCTGTTCATGATGAGCTCATGCTTCAACTGTATCACCATGTCTTGCTTGAACACAATCCAGAGAGGCTTGGTCTGGATGACAGCATGGCGAAGAGTACCAGGTTTGGGGTTAACAAGATCATCATCATTAGGGTCGGTGACAACATAGAAGCATATCCATCGCGGCCACTAATGGCATTTCTCCCAAAACGAATGCCACAGTCTGCAAGACGCTTGTGGTTTTTATGCCAGTTGGGATCACAGCGCCAACAGTCATCGATTGGATTGCCAGGTCCACATGAGAAGTAGCCCAACTTCCTCTTCTCCGTGCTGTTACGGATACTCATGTCAACCATGGAAGCAATCTCTTCTAGGTCTTCAACTGCATGCTTATTGAATCCTTCATCATCCTCAGCCACTATGGCCGCCATTGACGAGTTGCTAGAGCTCTGCAACTCCTTTGTTCCTTCATTGCTGTTGCGAAAGATCTCGGAGACCATGGCAGCTGCGAAGCAACACACGAGAAGCACCGTCACGAACGCACCGACCCATTTATTCTTACTCTCAAACACTACCATTGCAATTCCTCTCTCTCTCTCTCTCTCTTTGACTCTCTCTGTAAGGATGACGGTATGTGGGAGAGTAGAGAGAAATTAAAGACGCACACACAAATGAAGGTATAGAGAGAGAGAGGGGGGGAGGGAGAGGTGGTTATGCTTATGTGAGCTCAGATCTGCTTGACAGCTTCGGCGCGGAAGGACTCCTTGATGCCGAGGAAGCTTCCCGGAGCTGGAGAGATCGGAATCAGCTTCATAATCCCGATGGTGGGTTTGGGCTTGGTCGAAACACCTACTTCCTTGGGCTTAGCCTTCGCATTTGCCTTTCTCTTTAGCTTCGGAACAGTACCGGTGGCGGGCTTCGAGGAAAAGAGAGAGATGGGTGGAGAGGGATATATGGGTTCTTGGGAGGTGAAACAGAACCATATTTGAAGATTTTTGTTATTTTGATTTTTTGTCTATGATTTTGGAGCAACTATGGGAACAGCCTGCTGAGATATGCTGTGTTTTGGTGGGGGTTTTTGTAGATTCACGGTGGAGGTGAAAAAATGAAAGAGAACCGACACAACTTTTTGTATCGATTCCCACAAACGGCGTCAAATGTTGATGCACAAAACCGGAGGTCTTGGAACAACGTAAATCTGACCGTAAATCTGCAAGAAATGTAAATAACACAAGATGTATTGTGGTTCACCCCAATGTTTGGGCTATGTCCACACTGATATTGTATTTCTCTATTTGTGAGAGGATTGAGAGGGTGAGAGCTTTGCTCTGAATATGAGAGGGGATGTGAGGCTTATGGACTAGCAATTGGCCTAGCAATTGGCCTAAAAATTGGCCTCCTCCAATAAGGAGAGTGATGGGTCATTTTATAGAACAATGGCTCCTCACTTATTACATATTTACCCTTTCATTTATTGCATAATTACATTTGAGTTACCCGAGTATTTATACAAGATATAAATGCGGAGACCCTAAGTATGGTACAAACATTAGTATATCGATATTTTTACACCAAGGGAGGGGGAGTTTGGCAAAGGCACACAATGGGCAGCCTAATTTGGTATCAAATTCAACATTCATAAAATTCGAACCTAAGATCTCTTACTTCCAAATGAAAAGAAATACCACCAGATCGTAGTATTGAGTGGGCGAAGCTCGTGTTTCTGTTAAGGCACAACACACAATACCAATTCCGAGAAAAAGTATGGTTTTTTCCATGTAATTCTTACTCTTAACAAAAGTTGTTACGGAACCAAACTCGTGTACCTCAAATTCTGGCAGCAGAGAATGACCGTTGGATTATCTTTTGATCTTTTAGGTATTGGTTGTCTAAGTCTTAAGATGGGAGGAGGATTGTCTGCCCTCCAAGTTTCGGTGCCCTTCCATGCCCTCCTGTTTTGTGTGGTCACGGTTAAGCCACGTTAATATTTTATATTATTTTTTTATAGAGATAATAAGATAAAAATGAATAATAATATAAAATATTAACGTGGTTTAACCATGACCACACAATCAGAAGGACATGAAAGGGCATGGGAACTTGGAGGGCAGACAATCCTCCTCCCTTAAGATGTATTGGTTGTTACAAAAAAAAAAGAAAAAAAAAAGTAGAGGGAAATATCTCCCTCTCCGTTTCCCTCTCGCTCACTTTCCCTCTCCTTCCTCTCTCTCTCTCTGTCTGGAATTGCCTCCGACAAAAGCTCCGAAACCCTAATCTTACAATGCGTGTTCTTCTTCCCTAAGAATCTAATCCCTCTTTATTTTTCTTATAACTTTTGAGTCCTTTTTTGGTGAATTTGGAGCTCCTTTTTTTTGTGTGTATAAGGCGATGGTTGAGGGGTTTGTCCGGGAGAAATTCGTAGAGCTATTATGTCGTATAGCGCGCTGAGAATTGACGATGATGATTTTATCCCAGTTGGGCGGTCGTCGATCGAACGGCCTCGCCTCTCCAATTCTCTGCCGTTTGTGCCGTTGCTACTCGTCGATGGCTTCTCCCGCAAGAGCTTGTCGTACTCCGCGCTTCCTCAGGAGCCTCTCCGGCTCTCCGTTCTCAAATTGGATGGCTCTTGCTTCGGTACTCTCTCTCTCTCTCCTCGTTTCTGAAAATCTATGGTGCATTGTTGGTGGCTTGTTCGGTTGCTGAGAAAGTTTTGGAAAACTGACTAATTTTTTTGTATTTTCTCTTATGAATTACAATTTGATTCTAATCCTGGGAAGGTAATTGAAATTTTCCCGTTGCTGTTGTGCATTGCGCCTATTAATTTCTAATTTCATTTTCTAGGCATGTCTGTAATTCTCTGTCACGATGGTTAATCCCGTTGCTGCCTGCTTGGTTGCTGAGAAAATTTTAAGAATGTAGGAGGTCATTTTATGTACATTGTTCTTAAGGTTCCTTTGGTTTTGAAAGACAAATTTGCGCCCCACAAAATTTCAGGGCCAATATATGATTGATTTCATTTGATTTGATTTGATTTCTTCATATCTAATTCATTATATGTACATTGTTCTTAAGGTTCCTTTATTTGTTTTTCTGGTTGAGAATTGCATGAATCGAGATGTTTTTCTTTCTTTCCTTGTTTTTTTTTTCTGGCGAGTTGCATGAACTAAGATCTTCCCTTTCACAGATATTCAAGTTTCCATGACAGCCACTATTTTGGAATTAAAGCAGGCAGTCGAGGCCGTTTTCAGTCACATGCCACAGAAGGGACCAGGAAAAATTTCATGGTATGTTCACTTTATCCATTTAAATATTTTGGATGAGAAGCAAAAGCTGCAAAACCATATAATCACAGAAATTTATCTTTGTTAGCATTCAGATGTGAAGCTTAGCAGTTTTTATACTTTTGAGTTGGTAATTTCATTACACAACCGTATTCGTATCATTAACGATGTTCCTTGTTTAAATATGGTTCATGGAGGCCACATGTGTGGGGTCATTTCTGCTTGTGCTACGATAATCAGAAGCTACTTGTTGAAACTGATCATATCAAACTTTATGGCATCAAAGACGGTGATCAGGTATGCGGCAGATCAAATTTATCGTTTATCCAGTTGGCTACTATTATGCTTGGTTTGGTGTCCTTGAAATTGATCGTTGGTAATTTGGGTTGTTTAATTGGATTTTGCCACTCCAAGTTCACTTCCTCTATCCCGCGTCCTCCCCCATGTCTGCATGTCTTTTACTTAAGAGTCTGATAACATTGTGTTGTCTTCATGTATGTCAACTGGTGTTGTTTGGTATGTGCAGCTGCATTTTGTCCGGCATGTTTCAATCAACTACAGCATGACAAAGAGCCAATCGTCAAAGAAAGGGTTCCTTGCTTTAAAACAAAACACAACGTGAGGCTCTCCCTATTGCCATTTCTCTTTTATAAGAATTTTTAGCACAAAAAAAAAAAGAAAATACCGCAGTTCCCTACACAGATAATAGGAACCATCGTTGCCAGGCCCTGCTTCTTAACCGCGTTTCTCTGCTGGTCTTTTATTTTTCAATCGTGTTGTGTACTTGTCAATTCAATATGTGCAGGTCAATGTTGCGATCATTGAGCTTTCAAGAGGAAGACCCGACTGACATTGAGAAAGAAGAGAATGGCAAAGACGTAGAACAGAATGACGAGGTATGTTATGATTCTGATCACATCAAGAATCCAAAGTACCCGCATTGCGATGACGAAGTTTCTATCGAACACAATGAGAGCAGGCTGCCCTTCTTATTGGGAGAATGGTTTCCATACTCCAAACTGTCAGCTGTAGGAACAACATCTAAAAGAACTTGGGCGCCAAGCATAGCCAGTGGGTTGTTGCTTGGGTTTAGGAAGATATTTGTGCTTTGTTTCGAGAAACGCGATAAACGGTCTAGTCGAAGGGATACTTGGAGAACAGATTAGCGCTACAGTATGGTTTCTATCCCTACGGGCCTAAATTGATTAGATAGTATGATTAAAATTACATTAGGCCTTACACTCTACAGTCATTTGCCCGCTTATATAAATTTCATTTTCTACTGCTCCCATTCTCATCACCTGAAAAGTGTAGCTGTAAAGGTTTTGGAGCCAAGTCAATGTACATATAGGAGGGATTTTCTTTTCAAAGCTTCGGACGAGAGAAACTTACCTGCACCAGGGATGCCGTAGTTACACAACTTAAAATCAATCACGCATTGCTATGTGTTTTTGCTTTCCCATATATAAGTGTGATTTGACTTACAATGACGCCACTGTTGAATTCCACACTGACCCCAATTTCTCCATACTTGGGATTCAAAACCTACTTGGGCCTGGACCAGGTTTGGATGATGGGCTATTTCATATTTGTGTCCAAGGTGCCAACTTTTTGGGTCCTCATGTAGGACTGTCACAGTGCCACTCATCACTCACCACAAACTCCTTCCCCCTTTTGAATCCATAAAATCCTCGTAAATGTGTGGCAAGGAATTGAGATAGCCCTCCCCAAAGATTTACCCTCACAAATTCACAACCCCTCAAATCCCCAAATCCAAAAATCCCAAAGAATTCTCAAAATCCCAAAATCCAGAGAACAGCACAGGAACCAGCAAAGTCCTCCGCCATGGCCAACATGATCATGGCTTCCTCCAAAGTCCCCATCTCCTCCTCCCCTTCTACCCCAAACCCAAAACCCAGAATCCCACTCCAAATCTCCATCCCCAAAATGCCAGCAAACCTCCCAAAGCTCACAAAGCCCCAATTGGTATCCCTATCCTCCTCCCTCTCCGCCATCGCCGCCGCCTCGCTCGCATTGGCGCCACCTTCCCTGGCGGAGGAATTCGAGAAGGCGGCCCTGTTCGACTTCGACCTGACCCTCCCCATCCAGATGGTGCAGTTCCTGCTGCTTATGGTGGCGCTGGACAAGCTCTACTACAGCCCACTGGGGAACTTCATGGACGAGAGGGACGCGGCCATCAGGGAGAAGCTGGGGAGCGTGAAGGACACGTCGGAGGAGGTGAAGCAGCTTGAGGAGCAAGGCATCGCCATCATGAGGGCGGCGAGGGCGGAGATATCGGCGGCGCTGACGAAGATGAAGAAGGAGACGCAGGGGGAGGTGGAGCAGAAGTTGGCGGAGGGGAGGAAAAAGGTGGAGGCGGAGCTGCAGGAGGCGTTGGCGAAGTTGGAGGAGCAGAAGGAGGAGACCATGAAGGCGCTTGACTCACAGATTGCCAATCTCAGTGACCAGATTGTAAAGAAGGTCCTTCCTCTCTGAGTTTCTTGGGTTTGTTTTTCGCGTAAGGTGTGAATTGGAATGGGGGCAAATGGGAAATCGGATTGCTGTGTCTATGATTATATAATTGTAATAATAATATTTGTATGTTAATTGAATGAAATTACTGTGTTTTTTCTTGTTCTGGTTTAATATTTTGTGGATGTGTAATTTGAATAACCGAGGGAAGAAAGGATTCATGGGATTTGTACAGTGTTGGAGAGGATTTTCGGTGGCCGTGAACCCGATTCATGTAAGTAGATCGGGTTGGATGTGTTAGGTGAGCAGAATAGAGCGGTGAGTGATAGAACTGTCAGCTGTGTGTTCGAATCAAAGAGAAATTCTAGAGAATGTTTTGCTACCTGAAATTTTTTTTATCGGGCGGATTCCTCCTTTTGCTCCTCAGCCTGCCGGATATTAGTAGCCTGTTGTTTCCCTCCCAAGGGCATGTTCTTACACGTTACTCACCCGTCAGCTCTACTCCTTGCACCTTTCCCATTGTCCATTTCAAGAAAGGGGTGTGCTATCTACACACCCTAAATTATTTATCACACATCATTTGTTAATTTCTATCCGTTGATCTTCTTCAATTCATTCCGATATGACGGTCGAAAATTAGAAAGATATGTAAGAAGTAAAATGGGCTTTCAAGAAATTAGTGGTAGTTTTGTTTACCTATACGCTAATTGAAATTGTTTCAAAGTGATTTTTTATGATGCTCTAGAAGACCGGGCACTTAGGGCATTTTATCATTAAACCATTGATAAAAACAAAAATTTAAGAATCTAAGAGTCTGTTTGTTATTCTACTTAAATTCAACTTTTTAAACTCAAAAACAATTTTCAAGTTTTAAGCATTAAAAACTTGTTTGGTAAGACTATTTTCAAAAACTGAACTCAAGACTAACTAAAAAATATAGTTTATTATCTAAAAACACAAAAAATGAGTTTTTAAAGTTTTACTCACCCATTTCTTTTCTCTTTCTCCTCCCATCTCACTCCAAATATATCTCTCTTTTCTTCTTTCTCTCTCCCCCTTCTCTTTTTTTTTTTTTTTTGTTTTTTACATTTTTCGTCTCTCCTCTAATCCACTTTCTTCATTCTCTTGTTCTTTTTCTCACTCCTCTTCCTCTCTATCTCCTCCGATCTTCCCACTTCTTTCTCCTTCCTCCAATCATCTCTCACTTTCTTTCCTCCTCTCTCCTCTCTCTCTCTCTCTCAACCCCCTTTTTATGGATCTTTTTGTCCAATTTAAGTTGTAAGATTTAAAAATTTTAAATCACATACCAAACAAGTTTTTGAGTTTTAAAGAAAATTGTTTTCAAGAAAAATTCTTAAAAAATGTTTTAAGAAATTATAAAAAATTTCAAATAAGATACCAAACAAGCCCTAAATTTTTTTAAAAAGATTCGGAATATCCTTTACATTGGACCATCATAAAATTTTTGGTATCCCGATGCCTGTGAATACCATAGGTTTCAACATGAAAAAAATGTTATTCGTTCGGCCCAAAATAAAGCAAAGATGCATCACTGTAGGTTTCAACATTTTCTGGGCCCAAAGGAACAGGGCTTCGGTACAAGAGGAGATCTCGTACAAGAGCAATATGTACCTTTGGATTATATTGCTGCATGTGATTTGCAGACTTGCAGAATCAGCTTTCCCTTTATCTATTCACCAATGTGCGGCTGTGCACATGTCAAAATCTTATTTATTGAACATAAATAAGGCTCACAATGAGCCTAGAAATATATTTATTGCCATGACAAGCGATGAATTGCTCTGATAGATATAGTATTCTTCCTCAGGTCACTAGTCGTGATACAAATTTCATCTATTCCTTTAATGTAGACTTAGATTAAAGTAGTAATATTGAACCCGAGTTGCATCAAGTGACAAACATTAATTATTCCGCTGCTGGTGTGGAAGCCAGACTTGTGACCAGGAGAAGGCTGAAATACCTCTGTGAGTCTTCCCGACCCCTGTAATAGGTGAATAACCTTGAATTGCTACCAATTGTTTTCTTTTTAAAAAAATTAAAAAAAATAAATACCCTTGGAATCACGCATGTGTAATGTGACAGATTTACCCAACAACATCACACAGTTGTGTTCAATCACAACACCAACAAGTTTTAACCATCTTGTTTTGCACGTAAACCCTAAACAATAATACAGTTACACGTATGCCACATGTATACATATGTATGGTTGCTAGTCAAATAGACAAATGGGTAAATTACATTTACAAAAATATAAAATATTTTCGTATTTATTTAATCAAATTATATTAAGGCATGGAAGAAGGAAATGAAAGTAACATTTTCACCATTATTGTCACTTCCAAAGGTTTTACCCTTGTCTCACAACTAACTTACCCATCAGTCATCACCACCGTTTATTAAATACAAGCGGGACAGGTGTGTCCAAACGAAACAATCCAACTAACAACAATTCTTCCTCGTTTTTTATATTTTGTATCTTTTATTTTCTTGCCGTCATCTTGTTTTTGAATTCAACATCCAATAATTGAACGTGATTAGTTGCTTCTTAAACTCCTCCTCAGCTTCTTTCCCGCAAGCTCAAGATTGATTGATTGAATAACAAGATTGGTCAAAACTTCTTTTGCGTGCAGCAAAAGGCACAATCGCAATTGTTAAAATTTAATTGTGAAAATATAGTTTTTTACTTACTTATCAATCTAATTCATATAAATCAGGTTATATAATAGTTTGGATTATTAAAGACAAATCTTTGAGCAAAGTACTTACATGGAATTGGTTTCCTGCTACTTTATTATTTTAGTTTAATAATTTAGTTTTACGTGTAAATTTTTTTTACTCTAAATTAAAATATCATCTGACAATAAACTCGTTATATGTAAATTGATTTCGTGAGCAACGATGCATTGCTCTTTATATCGTTTGTTTGGAATATTACTTATAATCGAACGGGAAAAGAAAAAGGCAAAGAAAAAGGAAAAGGATAATGAAAGAGAATTAAGAGGGGGCCCAGCAGCTTCACCGATTCTAGCCCAACTAGGACTTGAACTAGTTCTCATTTCGTTTGTTGTATATACTATTATTACTCTCTCTCTCTCTCTCTCTCTCTCCTCCCTCTCTCTTTCATTCTCTCTGAAGCTCTCTCAGATTCCAGACCTCTCTCTCTCAGACTGAGTGGTGTGTTACGTATGTAAAGTTCACTCTAAATTCGTCGAAATATCAAACTCATCGGAGCTCATCACCAAGTTTCAGTGAGTATTTATTAATCTCCATTAATTCTTCTTTTTCTTTTTCCTTTTTTGGATTTATGGTATTCTTTTTAGCTTTTAGTCTCTGTTTGTTCCGTTGAAATTTTTTCATTGTGCTATATGGCTCTTGTTTGATTAGTTTGTCATGGGAATGATCAAATCGGTGGAACCCAATTAACTTTTGCGTTAATGGGTTACCAAAAAATTGTGAAAGGTGAATCGGTGGAGTTAAATTTTCCCAGTAACCAAACAGAGTCGGTCTGGTTTCTGGGAAAATTGAAGAATCTGAAGGGAGATAAAGTTTGATGCTTTTTTGGGTCAAAAGAACAGATGAAGGAAGACAACTGATTAATGCTTAGTTATGAAGTGTGAGGATTTTAGCTCTCTGGGTTTTCTGGTTAAGAAAATCCTAAATACAACGTCTGTGATCATATTTTTTATGCATCCCATTTCCATTGATTTCTTCAGCGTTTGAATTGCTTTGTATGTGCAACTATTGCGTGTATTTTCGTTCGCAGTCGGTTCACTTGTAGTCCCTTTGAGCATGAGTCCTCTATCGATGTAGGCTAGATGAAGAAAGAAGGAAGGGGACCTGATATAGTCCCAAATAATTTGATTAACATACGCTTTTAGTTTGCAATATCTGAGTGTGCTACTTCGCCCTTGGTTCAGTGAATCAGTGGCATAGCTCTGTTTACAAAAACTATCTGCTGTCTTGCGATGAGAAGATCATAGGAGTTTTTGTGTATTTATGTATTTATATGATTTTGTGTTAATTTTTTTTTGTGATGGTGGCGTCCATGCAATATTTTGCATTGTCTTCAGGTCGAGAAATGGCTAAACAAGTTGTTGCTAACCAACCGTCAGCTTCATTTGAGTACGAGCTTTTAGATCGTGATTCTGATGGCCTGAGAACTATTGGAGCCTTTTCAGAACAGACAAGTCCTTGGATTGAACCTGTAAAATTGAAACTTAGACACAGAATTGGGAGGGGACCCTTTGGTGATGTTTGGTTAGCAACCCATCATCAGTCAACAGAAGATTATGATGAGTATCATGAGGTGGCTATCAAGATGTTCCATTCAATCAAAGAAGACAACATGAGGGCTGTGTTGGATAAACTGGCTGATATTTTTCACAAATGTCAAGGAGTTGGCGGTGTTTGTTGGCTATATGGAACTTCAATCATCAGTGGAAAGGTGAGACACTTTTATGTATTTCATGCACTATAAGGAGATTTCGGTCCTGCCTGTATGATTTCTAGCTTGCTAAAAGCAATTTGGGTTTGTGCACTCAGATATGCATCATCATGAGATTATATGAGGGATCCGTTGGTGACAAAATGGCACAACTCAGAGGAGGGAAGCTCTCACTTCCTGATGTTTTGAGGTTAGTTGGGTCCTGATTAGACCATTAGCAATGCTTAAGTTTATTATTTCCCAAAGATTTTGGTGCTCGATTTTTACTTGTGCTATTGGTTACAGGTATGGGATTGGTTTGGCTGCGGGGATTCTTGAACTACACTCCAAAGGCATCTTGGTTCTTAATCTTAAACCTTCTAATGTTCTTCTGAATGAAAAGGACCAAGCAATTCTTGGTGATTTTGGTATTCCTTATCTATTGCTTGGCGTACCATTGATAAGCTCAGATATGACTCGGCGGATTGGAACCCCAAACTACATGGCACCTGAACAATGGCAACCAGAAGTAAGAGGTCCAATATCTTTTGAGACCGACTCGTGGGGTTTTGGGTGCAGCATTGTGGAAATGTTGACCGGTGTCCGTCCTTGGGGCGGAAAATCTGTTGATGAAATATCTTATTTAGTTGTTGGAAAGCAAGAAAAACCAGACATACCAAGTGGCCTTCCTCCTGCAATAGAGAATATTCTTCTTGGTTGCTTTGAGTACGATTTGAGGAGTCGCCCTTTAATAACGGACATATTGACTTTATTCAAAAGGTATGGTTCCTCTACTATGTTTATAATTTTGTTCTGAGTCTTTGAGAAGAGGAGTTCTTTTCATATAATAATGTCATTCTTCTTACTAACCCAAATAAGAATTAATGCATAGGAAGCAGGTCACTTCATTATGTCTAGTGTAGGATCAATACTTCTGTAAACTTAGACCCCTTTTCTCAGTATAAGCAATCTTTTAGGTCCACCATAAACAGCATCGTCATCTAGAGAATACGCTTGCATTTTACAAAGTACAAACAAAATCTTGATGGTTCTTGTGGCAAGTCAGATTAAACTATGCAAGCTTTTTGATATTGAAAACTTTATAAGCCCAGCATGGTCCACCACCAATATCACCGATATTGTCCCCACTTAATCATCTAGCGTCAGGTGTGGGGTTTTATCAAATGGCCTCGGTGATATTAGGGGTGAAATCTCCAATATATTAATTGCATTTTTTTTTTGGTCATATGCCTGATCTGGAATCCTATTCTCCGATAGATATTATTGCTTAATTTAAGTAATTATCATGTGATTATTACGTGGTTGTGGAAGCAATTTTACCTTATGAACTACTTACTGTAGTTGTATAGGAAGTAAAAATTGGATAGAAAATAAAAACATTTTACAATGATATTTTCCGACTGAAGTCAACATTTCATTTTCCATAATTGATATGAGAAGTTGCATGTCGGGTTATCTCTGCTTAGTTGTGTTTTGAAGAAACCATTGCATAAAGAAAAGTTCTGTTCGCCACTTTTACATATTTGATATTAACTGCTACCACACTAGCAGCTTGCAGAGTACAATCTCCAGTGATGGAGACTGGACGGGTCTTGGGATAAGAACAATCAAGGAAAAATCGAGTAGCATTGGCTACACTGAGTGGTTCCTTTCAAAGGATCAACTGCAAGTGGGTGACACGGTGCGTTCCAGAAAGCCACCAAACTGCTGCAAGCCTGAAAACATGCATATTCCAGAAGGCACAGTAGTGGGTGTCGAACATGATGCAGATCAACATGGGTTTGATTTGGTGAGAGTCCATGGCATCCATGACCCACTGAGGGTTCATGTTTCGACTCTGGAGCGGGTCACTTTTGGCTTGGCAGCTGGTGATTGGGTACGCTTGAAGAAAGAAGACAAGAAACACTCACCAGTAGGTATTCTTCATTCCATCAATCGTGATGGTAATGTAGCTGTTGGATTTATAGGGTTGGAAACTCTCTGGAAGGGAAATTCTTCAGAGTTTCAGATGGCAGAGTCCTACTGTGTGGGTCAGTTTGCCAAGCTGAAAGCTAATGTATTGAGCCCTCGATTTGAATGGCCCCGTAAGAGGAAAGGGACATGGGCCACCGGGAAAATAACGTGGATCCTACCAAATGGGTGCCTTGTTGTCAAGTTCCCGGGAATGCTGACCTTTGGGGAAGAGAACTCAACCTTTGTAGCTGATCCTGCTGAAGTGGAATTGGTTACGTTTGATACATGTCCAGGAATAGTGAAGAAGTACCAACATCTTGAGGATTTTCATTGGGCAGTGAGGCCACTTCTGGTTGCATTGGGCATATTTACAGCCATGAAGCTAGGCATTTTTGTTGGAACAAAGGCGGGGGGGTCCAGGGTGAAGAAGCAACAGAGCGGTGCTACTCCGAATGAGATTCAGCATATCGATGGTCAGAATTCTGGAAACCCGGCGTGGATTCCTCCTAATATGAAAAATATCCTTTTCAGAGAAGGTGTTACCACCGGTCCTGCTCGGTAGTTTCATGCACAGTTCATCTGCCCAGAACTAATTTTAAGTTCAACCATACATATATGCTGCAACTAGTTTGTTGGGTATCACTAGGGCATTTTACTGTTTAACTTAAGCTGGAGAACAGCGTTACAAACCGGACCACTGTCGAATTTAGGGGCAAACATATTCGCTCTCTATGTATATATAAATGTATATATGTTAAACTAATTTGTGTTGATCATCTCTACTGTATTTTAATATTATCTTGGAAGCTTATATCCATAATTTTATGGAGATTATTTCCGGGAAACTGGTGAAGGACAACCTGACAATCGCGCCTGAGAGATTCTTTCTTGCAATTGGGACGTAGCTTTGGGTGGCTTTAGTGGCATCACCGTCTCAAGGTGTTTGTTATGGGAATTGGATCCTCTCCTGAGCACAAGCTCAGGAACCTGCTGACTAGCGCACGTGGGTTATTGGAGTTTGATCTAACGGCTACAATTATTATAACTTTTAAAGGAACCTTCTACTCCTGTTTGTAGCCGCTGTATCAAAATCCAACGGTCCACGTGCGCTGGGCATGAGGCTCCTGAGCTTGTGCTCAAGAGAGAATCCAATTCCGTTTGTTATGTGTCCAAAAGTGCATTGCCTATCTAATAGATGCTTGGCATGTGGTTTTTGCTTGCAATGAGAGTTTTACTTTAACACGCATGTCACTCTTTGTTCTCTTCACTCATTAATTGAGAAACAAAACATAAAGCACATGTAACCATGAGACTTTCAATTATCTTAGGTCTCACTCTTTTAATGTTCTCCACGAAATTTCCATGTGAAACTAACTTCAAGTACAAGAAAATCAAGTTGTGGCACAACGGAATCGAATATAAACAAAGAAAATAGGAATATCTGTTGATCTTTTATCTTATAAGTACATTATTTTTATCCAAACTTAGTTACACCCTGGTCTAACGAGGAGAAAGGACTTACATGGCACATATATACCGCCACGATATCGTTCCTGCGACATTTGTAAGATTCTTTGCCATATATCCTTGTTTCTTTGGCATGGGACATAACGTGACAGTGTAGCCATGTTTTGTAGGTTGTTCTCCTGCATATGTCAAACTGCAGTTGAAAGAAGCCAAGCGGTGTCCAACGAAAGGATGTGAAAACAGATAAAAAGATTAAAGTACACAACATTAACGAACTAAAAACACCATTAATCATTTATGAATCACACATTGTACAACGTTTATATTGGTTTGGCATCTGCATATTAGATGCCTTATGGTGAGTGCTGCAGACGATTACTGCACCAAATCTAGGAAAATAGATCAGTGGCATATCTGTACACGATATAAGCTCACCAGCTCATAAATTACCCCTACTGACCTGCAGCAGGCCCTGCACTTACAACACCAGCCTCTTTCACAAGCTTATCAGTCAAAGCCGAAATCCGGGCAACTTCCGCTGTCACCTCAGTTAAACATTCATTGTTCTCCACCATGCTTATGCTAGGATCGTAACCATTTGGAAAGAATATACTTCCATCGGCCTCAATGCTCAGGCTGGCATTTCGTAAAAGTTCCCCACTCATTTCTGTAAGTTTGTGGAGTGCACCGGTCGCAGCTTCAACTTCTAGTTGGGCTGCCTCAAGTTGAAGCTTCTCGATTGCCAAGTCTCCAATGGTCTTCTCCCCCAGTCTCTCTTGCGCCAATGCATATAGCTTTCTCAGATCATTAGCGTCTTCTGCCTCTTCTTTCAATTGCTTTACTTCTTTTTCTTTTGTTTCGAGTCTCCCGATAACCATCTTAAGCTCCTCGTCTTGAGCGTGAGGTCCCTCTGAGAAGCTAGAACTTCCATTTCTTTTATTCTTAAGCTGTCCCTTGCTGATTCAAGCTCAGTTTGAAGATGTTTTATTTGCAACCCGAAACCATCAGCTGGTTTCTCCCATAGTTGCGGTAGTAACTCGTGGCTCATGTCATCAAGCGACTCATCATCCTTGATGGATATAACCAACTTGTTAGTGAGTTCCACAATCCGTTCTACCACAGTTTCAGCTTCTGAATATTTGAGCTTCGTATCGTTCAACTCATTTTGCATCATGTTTACATGTTCGTCTTTCTCCTTGAGCAGAGTAGTTGCTTGAATAAGCTGGTCCTCTTTACTGTTCAGTAGCATCTTGAGCTCTGCAACTTCATTATTTACTTCCTCAAGCTTATTCCTTGCATTCAAAAGTTCCGAATCCTTCTCATCCAAAATAACCTGTAAGGTATCCCGCTCAGATTTCAAATGCTGAATTGCGATCTTAGCCTGCACCATTTCCGACTCCTTATCCTGCAGAAGATTGCGCATTTTCCCAAATTCAGCGTTTTTCTTGTCTAGCTTATTTTGGAGAGAAGAAATCCCATTGATAGCCTGATGCAAAGAGTACCTCTCTTTCTTCAACAGCTCCTGTAAATCTTCCATAAGCTCCTTTTCCATGGATAAGTCACGTTCAAGTGCATTCTTTTGAGCCTCTGCAACCCTAAGCTTTGATCTTTCACTCTGTAATTCTATTTGGGCATCTTTCAGAGTTGTTAAGTAAGACGTAATGCTTCCCTTCTGTTCTTCAAGTTCTTCCCATTGGTTTTCCAAAAGCTTCCCTTGATCTTCCATTTTCTGTCTAGAAGATGCCAGAGATTTCTGAGATGAAACCAACTCTGACCTCACGTCAGCAAGAACCTTCTTCACTCTTCTGAAATCCTCTAAAGTTTCATTAGTTTCTCGTGCGTGTGGATGCTTCCTCTGATAATTTATTAAGTTCTTCCTGTGCCAATAACCACTCCATTGTCCGCTTCTCCAATTTGTCCTCCGCAACTTTTAGTTTCTCCGCTTCATTCTTCCTCTGCATTTGAAAAACTTCCAATTCTGCTTCTTTCTCCTGCAGAGATTTCCGGAGTCCTTGAATCTCAACTTCTTGTTTTTTGACAACTTCATTGGCTTCATTCAGCAGGTGAGCCTTGGATTCAAGTTCAGACTTGGACTTAGCAGCTTCTTCACTCTTTTTCAGCAATTCATTTCTCATTTGTTCCAATTCCTCTTCTTTCAAAGAAAGTGCCGACTGTGCAGCCGCATTTTCCTGATCTCTCTCTCTAAGCCGAAGCTTTAGGTCCTCTATATGCCAGGCCTGAGAAGATAGGCGAAGATTAGCCTGCTTCAATTCCTCCCCTATTTTTTCATACCTGCAAGAAGCTGCAGCAATTTCTTTCTCCCGTTGCTCCAGCTCATCCTTTGTGCGGTGCAATGCACAGTGCTCAAAGAAAACTTTTCTTTCGGCATCCTGCAAATCTTCTTCCTTCTTCTTCAGTGCTGCCAATGCAGCGTGAAGATCAGACTCAAGGATTTCAAGGTTAAATCCTAGCTGGACATCCTGAGGATGACGAGAATTTCTGTTCATCTGCTCTTCCAGTTTCTGTGTCTGTGCAAACAACCTCTCGAGAAGAATCCTTGCAGGTTCAGAAGCTCCATTGTCACTAATGCTCGACTTCCTGTTATTCAAGACTGATCGAACAACCCTCAAGGAAGAGCCTTTCCTTTCCGTGGTAGCTCTAAAAGCTACTTTGTTCTGCTTTGTGCTAAATCTAAGCGAGCACAACTGCAGAAATGTTGTACCCATATATGTAAATACTTGTTCGATTAGAAACCAAAGCCAAAATTACAAGCATCATTTACAATCAAAATTCGTAAATGATTGTTATTATCGGTTGGACGAAAAATCATGTACAATGAAATGGCCAAAATCGAAATCAAACAGCATGGCAATGCAACAAATCCCAAAGCAAAATTAGACCCAAGCGACAAAATCACATAAAATCCTAAATAATTCGACTTTATCCACATTAACATCAATCCCTGCAATCTTACAATTCTGCAAAATGCTACCAGATTTCAACAAATTTCACCTCAATGCCCTAAAAATAATATCTGAAACACAACTTATAAACCCTATATTATCACATTCATTGTATTTATATCTAATTAACAGCATACGACTAGTCAGCTTACACAGTATTCTCCCCCTAATTTCCCTACCTTCTTCTATTTTCTCGGAAACCAAACACAAGATGCAGCAGTTATTCAAACCTAGAGAGAGAGAGAGAGAGAGAGAGAGAGAGAGAGAGAGAGAAAGTACCTTGCAGTAGGGTTGAGAAGAGGAGGTCCGGAGATTGGAGCGAGCGGCGGCGGCAGAGAAGGCCATGGATATTCAACTGCCGAGCACATCAGGGCTCCGCCATCACCGTTGGAACCATTTCCGATCTCCTCAGAACTCGATAATTCAAAATTTCAGACAAAAAAATCGATCGGAGAATCTAAGAAGGAAGAAGAAGATGGGGGTGAAGCTTCTGCAGAGCGAAACAGAAGGCCATGGGCGCACGATAGCATATGAGACCAAGGTCACCATCCTTCTACTTTAGCATCGCCGACTCTTGGGGGCTTTTGGATAGATAGAGTCAATCTTACGTGTAAGCGACGTCGTGTTGGACCCTGTGGTTGCCCGCCATTTGGCAATACGAGCAGTAGTCCGTGTGTGGTCCCCCCAAATGGATAGGTCGTGGAAGCGCGACGGCGTGACGCGTGTGATGAATTGGAACCATGAGTGATGTGCACGAGTCCCATGACATATAAAGCGAAAAGGTTTTGGATGGAATACCGACTTAATTAAAAGATTGGATAAAGAGGCTTGAAGAGTCAAATCCCGGCCCAACCTTTAATCTAGGCCTAATCCATTGGGCCTGTTAGGTTGATGGGTAAGGCTTGAGTTAAGGTTCAAAGCCTCAGCCCGATTTGGCCCGGCTTGTCTAATGCTCCCCTAATCTATGCTATTGATTCAAGGGTCACTAAAAAGTTTAGGCCTAATTGGATAAATGGTCCATGTGGTCATAAGGTATTCGGATGATAGTTCCTGTGTTAAAAAAAATCTGATTTAAACGCCTATGGTCACAGTCTGTTAGGATTTAAACCCTTCTGTCATTCCTCCATTAGGTTTAGGTTGGCCAAATCGGATAAATGGTCCCCGTGGTCATAAAGAATTTGGAAGATAGCCCCTGTGGTAGAAAAAAATCGGATTTAAATAATTTTTAATTCATTTCTTCTTTTTTTAAAAAAATATGTAAATTAATTATTTAAATAAAAGATATATATCTATATATATAAAGTGAGCACCCTAAAATGGTGAAACATTCAAAATACCATAAATTGTCCTTTAAGAATTTCATAAATTACAATTGAACCAAAAGAAGCTAAAGTATTTAACCATATTTTTATTTTGAATGAATTTAATATTTAAAATTATAAAAAAAAACAAAAACAAAACCTCCCACATTAGTGGGTGGTTTCACGTTTTTAATTTATTTCTTCTTCTTCTTTTTTTAAATAATTTTTTTAAAATATGTAAATTAATTATTTAAATAAAAGATATATAAAAATGTCAATTGCCACATGCGTATGCGTGTGGCAAGAGGCTAGTAAAGAATTAATTTGTTGGATATTCGGAAATCAAAAACTCGTTAATTTTATAAAAGCATTTTTGAATTATTTGATTTATTAGATCTTGAATTTTAATGAATAATGTGATTTATTAGTTCCACCTCGTTCTGTCGCGTCTCCTCAGAGAAACTCTGCTCCACCTATAAGCTTAGCGGAGAAATGACAGAACTTCTAGTTTCGGGTATAAATCCTAACAAACTTAGACCACAGAGGTTTAAATCTAATTTTTTTTTACCACAGGGACTATCTTTTGAATACGTTATGACCACGTGGACCATTTATCCGATTTTGCCAACCTAAACCTAATGGAGGAATGACAGAAGGGCATAAATCCTAACAGACTTAGACCACAATGGTTTAAATCCTAACAGACTGTGACCACATAGGTTTAAATCCGAATTTTTTTACCACAGGGGCTATCATCCGAATACCTTATGACCACGAGGACCATTTATCCGATTAGGCCAAAAGTTTATATATATATATATATATTATATATATATATATATATATATATATAAAGGACAGTTGGTGTCAAGTCATAATTATCCAATCTTCTGGCCCCAAAGAGGCTATGAGGAATTTCACCCTGCCACTGTCAAGCAAACTCACTAGCTCGAAGCATCAAACATGAGTCCCACATTTTTTTGTTTATTAGGGAGCCGCAGGCCACGCCCTTACCATTGGGCCATTTGCTGAAATCATTTTTCGTTTTAAACCTACCTATGTTATACTAGACTCTCTACATGCACTCACTCATGTGTGTAAGATTTGTTCTTTATATATATATCAAATATGTATTTTATTTACGAGAATGTCTATGAAGGGATAACTGTGAACACGAAAATTTCCTAAAACGAAAGAGACAAGAACAACGTGCACAAAATAATATTTGTATTTGATGGTTTTGGGTTACAATCTCTCTCAAATTTGATCCTCTGATTCGATCTCCGTAAGGTGTTGATTTGTGGATATTTCGTTGATCCAAGGGCCGTCGAAGCTTGATTTTGAATGAACTGTTGGAAGTTTCTTCAAGGGCCGTGGGCTTGATCTTTGAAGGTGGATTTGAGCGAATATTCAAGGAGTCGTTGGGGCTTGATCTTGAGGATGAGTGTTTCTTCAAGGGCCGTTGAGGCTTGATCTTAATAACGGTTGGATGTGTGGATTTGTCGACGTTATTGATCCAAATGGCCGTTGGGGCTTGATCTTAAGATGAACGGATGATGAACGATGAACGAAGAACGAAGAACGAAGAGAGCTTTCTTGATTCTTCGGGAACCTGGATGCTTGAGAGCTTCAGAGCTTCAAGAATTTTGCCTAATGATTTTGGTCCCCTCAAATGAATGAAATTGACTTCTATTTATAGAATTTTCCAAGGCCTAATTTTGAATATAATATCATAGATAAAATAAGTCGTTTCTGCCAGGTGTTGACACGTGTCCTGTTTGATGATTTTTCCAACTTATTTCGACTTTTTGTTTAGACACTAAAATTTATGTAATACATGAGCGTTGAAACTTTGATTTATCGGTCAACATTTATTTACCGAAATTTCGATGTCTACAATAACTTCGACAAATGTGGTGGCGGTTTGAACCCACATTTATATATGTATTTAATATGTTTTTGTTGTTCGGATGAAAAATATATTATAAACTCCTCAAAACTTTGAATATCTTGTAGGTGAGATAGTTAGAAAATCTCCAGTTATGCCCTCTATTTTATACATCAAAGTTTTAATTAATCTATCAAAAAGTTATTCTATGACCTCTGTAAGTTGTACTCCAACCATACCACCCTACTTTAGAGCCATAATGATCATGAGACAATAATTAGCCAATAGAAATTAATTAATTATTTAAAATAATATTGAAACAGTAAGCATCAGTTATATTATAGAGAGCCACTAGAAGCTCATTTCTCACTCCCTGTATTTAGGATCTCCTAGATGAATCTCTGTGGATACAGAACATGACTGGAGTTTATTTATTTATTTTTAATCCTTTCCTTAATTTTAGTTAGGAGCTCATTAGTTTAAGGGCTATTTTTGCTCGAAACTAGAGATTTGTTTATCCAAAATCAAGTACAAAGAGGATAATAATTTACTATTAAAAATGAAAACCATCACCAATAATAAGTCTAGAATTACGTTGGACAATTCGTAGACCCCAAAAATCTCTTGAAGAATAATATTAGAGCAAAGCATTAAAGACTCATTTAATTTGATAGGAGACTTGTCCAAACTTCATGTCCTCAACTTTTCCAAGGGCAAATGACTTTCTTAATCTCTCATTGTCGTAATCAAGATGGCTAATAATTTAGGAGGCAAGTAGAAGCTCCAAAACACACTTGATTGGTGAAGGGTGATCACATGTATCAACAAACCCAAACCCACAAATCTTCCACTTCGTACATGGAGATCGAGCTAAATGGATAAATCACACTAATAATTAACAAATCCACGAGCTAATCTCCCTTTTTTGTCCTCAGTCCTCAATAGTTAATAAAGATTAAACTATTCCCTAATAAAATAGACACCTTTTCCTAAAACGTACTCAAAGATGTAGCGAAAAAAGTAAAAAAGAATATATTAAGATGCTGTGGACAAACCCATATATTTCGTTGCCGCAGAAGGAAAGGATAATTATAAACAAACGAAAAGGGATTTGTTTGATGTGATATCTAAACAAGAAACGATCATTGTTTTTTGTTAGCTATGAGTCTAGGACTATGTGTGTGATGTGACTTACTCAAGTAGCTGATTATTAATTTTTGAATCTGCTTAGTGGATGATCATATAGGTCTCATTTCGTATCTAGGATTAAATTAGATTCGATAATTTATTGTGTTCGAGGATATACTCAAGTTAAAAGTGAATGCTTTTTGCATATTGAAGGAATTAGGAGGGGACGAAACACATGAATGGCAACAAGGGTTGGTTTAGTTGGTAAGGTTCCTATTTTGTGTGTCGGTCCTTTAAAGTTTGAGTCTCGTTGTCAGCAATCCTTATTAGTGCGCAATCTGTAAATTTTACGTAAATCCATATTAGTGGCAGATGTCAGTTAGATGTTATGCGTAAGTTTATCCACCTCAATATTATGGGTATGGCCTAGAATAACTAATCTCCTCTAAACTTTCAAAAAGCCAAAAAGAAACACATGAAGGAATACAGTTGGACACAATTTTTTCGTAAGTAATTCATACTTTACCATATGTAGCTGGACACAAATTTTTTTATTTATCATTTTAACGTAGAGAGGTGTTTTTTTAACACACGCCTCTTGATTATTCACTATCAAATTAAATAAATCAAACGAAAAAAATGGCTCAACACGAGTGTTTAATTATAATTTTCCTTTTAAGTATTCATTCTAGTTCAATCATAAACACCAAAAGAGGCTTTAATTTCATACAAACAAACAAACAAACAAGTAATGTGTTTTATAGGAAAGAGATTTTCTCCGGATCCCTTCCTCGTAATTCACTAAATCAGGAATCCGTGACGTTGAAAATTGATTAAGTGATTACAAACAGGGGTCTACTTTAAAAATTATAATAACTTCAACCGTTTGATCAATTTTTAATAGTACGGATTATGTGATTTGTTGAATTATTATATCCCTAGAAGTGAAACACGCAGCTGGTGAGGATCTTGATCTACTAGATTATTTACTATAATTAAGGTTGAAGATTTGGTTGCGGTTAGGTATTCAGACGATGTGACGCCATGAGATAAGCTTCATCATTATAACCTCATGGTTCTTTGTCCACGAGTTGTTAATTAATTAATTATAAACTAAATCATGCGCAACGTTTGTAGGTCCCCAATCCAAAAAGGATCTCATTTAATGTGAAGATTCTCAGCCACAAAATTTGGAATAGAGGTCCGAGAACTATGATTCTTGAAATCCAAAGAAAGATTTTGCT